TATAGCCTAATTAACTGCTGGGATTTCTGCTCTGATTGATGTCAGCTGGGTGAGAAGATGGGAGGGGCAGAGCAGGGAGAGGCCTAGAACAGGACTTTTCAACCTTTTCACCCATTGTACCACTTTTAGGATATGGCAACATCCCAGTACCACCAGGCGCCTAGCAACATGTCAGAAACTTGATGACCAAAAAAAAAAAAAGGGGGGGGGGAAGTGATAAAGTACAGGTAGTCCTCGACTTACAACAGTTCGCTTAGTGACTGTTCGAAGTTACAGTGGCACTGAAAAAAGTGCCCCCAAGCCACAGCCGAGCAAGACACCTGCCTGCCTGCCCGGCCGCGCTCTTCCTCCTGTCCGAGGTTTTCATTGTTGTGAGCATTTCTGTTGAGGATTGGCAGCAGGGGTGGGGTGGGGGGGGGGTTTGGTCTTTATTCCCCTCCTCATCTGCTGGGTGGTTGCAGCAGGTTTTGGTCACTTCACATGACCCTGGGACACTGTGATCGTCATAAATATGAATCCGTTGCCAAGCATCTGAATGTAAATCACAAGACCCTGGAGAGGCTGCAACATTCCAGCTGATCGGCGCTTCTTCTGGGCTCAGCACAAGCACCAGGATCAGTGCTGCTTTCCAGCTGATTGATGCTTCTTCAGGGCTCAGCAGAAGCGCCAGGATCAGTGCTGAGCTCCAGCTGGAGCCTGGCGCTGATCCTGGCGCTTCTGCTGAGCCCTGACAGCCCTGCAGCTCCAGCCGTCTCTCGCTCAGGCTTGTGCGGTGCTGCCACCGGTTCAGCTCATTCTCCTTCCCCACTACCCACTTTTCTAGGATCGTCGCGTACGACCTGCCAGGTGCCAACGGACCACAGGTGGTACCAGTACCACTGGTTGAAAAGCCCTGGCCTAGGAGAATGGCCAGACCACCCACCCATCCCCAGCCACCTGTTGGACTACAAATCCCATCACTCCAAAACGGCAGGTGGTCCTCAATTTACAACCTTTCATTGACTGAGCTTTCAAAGTTACAACGGCACTGGAAACAAGAGGCTTAACAACCGTTTTTCACGCTTGGCCTTGTAATGGCGACACAATCAAAATTCGGGCACTTGGCAACTGGCTCGTTATTTATGACGGTTGCGGTGTCCGGGATCATGGGATTATCTGGCAAGCAAAAGTCACTGGGGGGAGCCGGATTCACTTAACAACCGTGTGATTCACTTAACAGCTGTGGCAGGAAAGGTTGTAAAATGTGGCAAAACTCACTTAAACAACTGTCTCACTTAGCAGCAGAATTGTTGGGCTTGACTATGGTTGCAGAAGCTGACTCTCCCTTCTCTCTTCCCCCTACCCTTTACAACAGGGGTCTTCAAACTTGGACCTTTTATGACTTGTGGACTTCAATTCCCAGAATTCCTCAGCCAGCATGGGGGAACTATGGCCCCTTCATGACTTGTGGACTTCAACTCCCAGAATTCCTCAGCCAGCATGGGGGAACTATGGCCCTTTTATGACTTGGGGACTTCAATTCCCAGAATTCCTGAGTCAGCATGGCGGAACTATGGCCCCTTCATGACTTGGGGACTTCAAGTCCCAGAATTCCTGAGCCAGCATGGGGGAACTATGGCCCCTTCATGATTTGGGGACTTCAACTCCCAGAATTCCTGAGCCAGCATGGGGGAACTATGGTCCCTTCATGATTTGGGGACTTCAAGTCCCAGAATTCCTGAGCCAGCATGGGGGAACTATGGCCCCTTCATGATTTGGGGACTTCAACTCCCAGAATTCCTCAGCCAGCATGGAAGAACTATGGCCCCTTCATGACTTGGAGATTTCAACTCCCAGAATTCCTGAGCTAGCGTAGGGGAACTATGTCCCCTTCATGACTTGCAGACTTCAACTCCCAGAATCCTCAGCCAGAATGGGGAAAAAATGGCCCTTTTATGACTTGTGGATTTTAGCTCCCAGAATTCCTGAGTCAGCATGGGGGAACTATGGCCCCTTCATGACTTGGGGACTTCAACTCCCAGAATTCCTGAGCCAGCATGGGGGAACTATGGTCCCTTCATGATTTGGGGACTTCAACTCCCAGAATTCCTGAGCCAGCATGGGGGAACTATGGTCCCTTCATGATTTGGGGACTTCAACTCCCAGAATTCCTGAGCTAGCATGGGGGAACTATGTCCCCTTCATGACTTGCGGACTTCAACTCCCAGAATTCCTCAGCCAGCATGGGGAAAAATGGCCCTTTTATGACTTGTGGATTTTAACTCCCAGAATTCCTCAGCCAGCATGGGGGAATTATGGCCCCTTCATGACTTGGGGACTTCAACTCCCAGAATTCGTGTGCCTAGCTGAGGAATTCTGGGAGTTGAAGTCCACAAGTCATAAAAGGGCCAAGTTTGAAGGCCCCTGCTTTACAATATCCCCCTCTTTAAATCTCTTCGGCCCAGCAAACCAGAATTGAGGAAATGGGGATTGGATCCCATTTTTTCTTTTTTTTTAAAAAAAATGTTTTATTAATTTTTTTACCTAATCACCTGAATACTGTATTTGGTAAACATTGTGTTGCCTGGGTTTATATTTAAAAAACAATCAATCGCAACTGGTTTCTATAATTCTATAGTCCACATAATAACTTTGCTTGTTGTTCCCTTCTTCCAAAAATGTCTTTTGCCAACCCTGAATTAATGCAATTCTTATTATTTAGATAAATAACAGTTTTAAATATAGACATTTCTTTCCAACATTTCTGCAAATAATAACCACACTGATCTAAAGCTTCTTTTCTAACTGATCATCTTGATAGCCTTATCATAGATCCTGTTAAAAATTCTTATTTAAGTTTGTTTTCCCCACAATATTTGAAACGTTCTTACTAGTAAAGATTTTCATTACGCTTAAGTATTTAAGTCTTTTTCCTCGTACAGGCCGTCCCAACACTTTTACATTTCTCATATCTTAGAAAAAGAAAAAAAGGAAGAAAAAAAAAAGAAAAAAAAAATAAGATCCCACTTTTTAAATCTTCCTGCTGGATCACTGTTTTCCTACTTTTTGACTCTGTTCTGGATTGTTTCCCCCCCCCCCCCATAAAGTGCTGCAAAAGAATCTGTGGATTTTTCTGCTGAAGTTGCATATTCAAAATGCTTCAGGGGATGGTAGCAGCACCCAACCTTGGCTGATCTTGCTGAATCCAGGGATAGGAGACCATAAAGAAAGCCCAGAGACATGGGCAGCACTCCAAATTAAAAAAAGAAAATCTTGCCACTAGCAAGATTAACAAAAATGTTTAAAAATATGTCAGATAGATGATGGAAATGCAAACACAAGTCAGGTACTTATTATCATGTTTGGCGGACATGTGTTAAAGCAAAGAGGCATGCTTGGCTAGAAAAGAAACAGAATACTTTCAAACTTAGGACTTATTTTATCAATGAATTGAGAAAAGAATAAAGGATTAGAAATTGAATTTATATTAGTGAGTGACTGGAGGCTAAAACATACAAGGAACGGTTGCTGGAATTGGGTCTGTCTAGTTTAATGAAGAGAAGGATGAGGGAAGACATGATAACAGTCTTCCAATATCTCAGGGGCTGCCCCAAAGAAGAGGGAGTCAAGCTATTCTCCAAAGCACCTGAAGGGAGGATGGAAACTCATCAAGGAGAGAAGCAACCTAGAACTAAGGAGAAACTTCCTGACAGTGAGAAGAATTAACCAGTGGAACAACCTGCCTCCAGAAGTGGTGAATGTTCCAACACTGGAGGTTTTTAAGAAGAGACTGGACAGCCATTTGTCCGAAATAGTATAGGGCAGGGCTTTTCAACCACTGGTACGGGTACCACCTGTGGTCCATTGGCACCTGGCAGGTGGTATGCGAACATCCTAGAAAAGTGGTAGCGGGGGAGGGGAATGAGCTGAACTGGTGGCAGCACCGCACAAGCCTGAGCGAGAGACGGCTGGAGCTGCAGGGCTGTCAGGGCTCAGCGGAAGCGCCAGGATCAGTGCCGCTTTCCAGCTGATCGGCGCTTCTTCGGGGCTGTCAGGGCTCAGTGGAAGCGCCAGGATCAGTGCCAGGCTCCAGCTGGAGCTCGGCGCTGATCCTGGCGCTTCTGCTGAGTCCTGAAGAAGCACCAATCAGCTGGAATGTTGCAGCCTCTCCAGGGTCTTGTGATTTACATTCAGATGCTTGGCAACTGATTCATATTTATGACGGTCACAGTGTCCCAGGGTCATGTGAAGGGACCAAAACCTGCTGCAACCAACCAGCAGACGGAGGGAATAAAAACCAAACACCCCCAACTCCACCCCCGCTGCCAATCCTCAACAGAAATGCTCACAACAATGAAAACCTCGGACAGGAGGAAGAGCGCCGCTGGGCGGGCAGGCAGGTGTCTTGCTCGCCTGTGGCTTGGGGGGGGGCACTTTTTTCAGTGCCATTGTAACTTCGAACAGTCACTAAGCGAACTGTTGTAAGTCGAGGACTACCTGTACTTTATCACTTTTTTCCTTTTTGGGGGGGGGGGTCATCAAGTTTTTTACACCTTGCTAGGGGACTGGTGGTACTCGGATGTTGCCATATCCTAAAAGTGGTACAATGGCTGAAAAGGTTGAAAAGCCCTGGTATAGGGTTTCCTACCTGAGCAGGGGGGTTGGACTAGATGACCTCCAAGGTCCCTTCCAACTTTATTATTATGGATCATCGCAGTCAGCCAGATGTTCAGACTGGATTTGGCATTTTGTCTACCTATCGAGTCCTTACCCAGGACCTGGGATAGGCAGATGTGGATGTTTGATGGTATTACAGATATCGTTGCAGGATGGAAGCAGTTCCTAGTAAGGCCGCCTTTTGCAATTGACTAAATTATTATTATTATTATTATTATTATTATTATTATTATTATTATTATCATCATCATCATCATTCCCAAAGCATGTTTCAAAAGAACTCCTCAAAGGCACAGCTTTTCTCGGTCGCACCCGAAACCAGGGGGAAAAAAAACTCAGCTTACCTTTTTGCAATCTTGGCAAAACACGGCCGCGCTCCCCAGAAACCCCAGGCCTTCTCCACATAGCAGGCACTGAGTCGACCCGTTTCCCAAGATGCTCTTCTGCATGTTCTCCAGCCGTTCCACCAGGCGCCTGCAAGGCAGAGACTCTGTTAGAACAGGGGCCGCTCCGTGGGCTCCAAACATGGCGTGCAAATCTCGCCCTGTCACATGAGGTGTCGTGACCTTTTGCACATTGCCGGAGCTGGGGTGGGCGCAGCCTCCGCATGATGCAACTGGCCTGCAGCCAGCAGTTTGGCACCCCTGATCTTGGACAAATACCCACAGCCAACTGCAAGAGGGATATTGGAGTCCTAGTGGACAATCCCTTAAATATGAGCCAGCCGTGTGCTGCAGTTTCCAAAAAAGCCAACACAGTGCTGGGCTGCATTAACAGAGGGAGAGAATCAAGATCACGGGAAGAGTTAATACCACTTTACAAGGCCTTGGTAAGGCCACACTTGGAATACGGCATCCAGTTTTGGTCACCACGATGTAAAAAAGATGTTGAGACTCTGGAACAGTGGTGGCGAACCTACGGCACGGGTGCCAGAGGCGGTACTCAGAGCCGTCTCTGTGGGCACACACGCCGTCGCCCCAGTCCTAGGCCTTCAGCTGGGTTTTATAAAACCTTTTCACTTTAGGCCTCTGCCACCGTGTACAAAAAGAAAAGGTTCAATCAGTCAATTTCAACTTCTCGCGGGAAAAAAAAGATCTTGCAAAGTTACAATTGATTGATTGAACTTTTTAGTCTACCCAGTCTGCTGTTACCACTGCAGCCATGCCCATCCAATGGGCCACACACACCCAATTGGCCACACCCACCCAATGGGCCACACCCCCCCAGCACCCGACGATGCATAAGTGGGTTTTGGGTTGCAGTTTGGGCACTCGGTCTCTAAAAGGTTCGCCATCATTGCTCTAGAAAGAGTGCAGAGAAGAGCAACAAAGAGGATTAGGGGACTGGAGGCTAAAACATATAAGGAACGGTTGCTGGAATTGGGGATGTCTTGTTTAATGAAAAGAAGGACGAGGGGGGACATGATAGCAGTCTTCCAATATCTCAGAGGCTGCCCCAAAGAAGAGGGAGTCAAGCTGTTCTCCAAAGCGCCTGAAGGCAGGACAAGAAGCAACAGATAGAAACTCATCAAGGGGAGAAGCAACCTGGAATTAAGGAGGAATTTCCTGACAGTGAGAACAATTAACCTGCTTCCAGAAGCTGTGGGCGCTCCAGCACTGGAAGTTTTTAATAAGAGATTGGACAACCGTTTGTCTGAAATGGTATAGGATTTCCTGCCTGAGCAGGGGGTTGGACTAGAAGACCTCCAAGGTCCCTTCCAACTTCTATTCTATTCTATTCTAGTCTAGTCTAGTCTAGTCTAGTCTAGTCTAGTCTAGTCTAGTCTAGTCTAGTCTGTAATTCTGTTCTATTCTATTCTAATTTATCAATTTTCATGAAAACATAGTCAACAAAAATAAAAAGAACTAAGTGAATCCCACGGCGCATTCTCCCATTCAGAAGAGAAGCCCCCAAATTTTTTCCACATTTCTGCTGAGATTCTAAGGAAGGAATCTCATTTAGTAAGGCATGCAAGACACAGGGAGTCCTCGACTTACGACCACAACGGAGCCCCCAATTTTTATTGCTAAGCAAGACAGCTGATAAATGAATTTTGCCCCATTTTTTTTTTTTGACCTTCCTTGCCACAGCTATAAAGGGATTCCCTGCCGTCGTTCAGTTGGGAACACGGTTGTTAAGTGAATCTGGCTTTCCCCCACGGGCTTTGCCCGCCAGAAGGTCGCAAAAGTCGATTGTATTTTAACGACTTTTCTTGTCGCAGTCGTTAAGTGAATCGCTGCGACTGTTAAGTTAGTGACACAGTTGTTAAGTGAATTCTGGCTTTCCCCGTTGACTTTGCTCAGCGTAAGGTCACAAAATGGGATCACATGATCTCCCGGGACACCGCAACCGTCATAAGTACATGCCAGTTGCCACGCATCCGAATTTCGGTCACGTGATCACGAGGATGGTGCAACAGTCGTATGTGTGAAAACGGTCGTAAGTCCTTTTTCCCGTGCTGTTGTAATTTTGAATGGTTACCAAACGAACGTAAATCGAGGACTACCCGATGTGTTTTTTTCCTTTTCTTTGACAATGTACATATATTTTTCAATCCTCATTATATATTTTTACACGTGTTATTGTTTTAAAAGCAAGTTATAGAACTTTGAAAGAAAACAGCCCATCCTAACCCAGGCACGATTAAGGCTGATAAACAAGCTATCTTCGTCTCCAGTTCTCACCATCGGGACATGTGAATTGGATGGGAACTTTAAGCACCATCGGTAAACCAGCGAATGTGCTAGACTTTGCGGCTTATTTCCTCCAAACCAGGGCTAATCTTTGTTACTTTCCTCAAATCCCTTCTGCCCGATTTAATGCCACCGACCTTGAAAGTTAAAAGGTTTCCAATCCTTTAGCAGGCAGATAAAAGAGATAAATAGCTTTCTTCCAAACACCCAGACAATGACAAAAGGAATGAGTTACTGGATTTTTAAAAAAAAAAATCTATTTTTTTTTTTAAATCCAGTTAGGAAACGATTGCAATGGAGTCGGCCCACCCCGAAATTCAAAGTCACTTTATCCTTGCCCAAAATACAGTTTTTCAGGGGACTTAGAAAGTAGAAAAGAATAGGCTCCTCGCAATGGCTATAAAGATTTTTCAGCAGTAAATCTTCGCTGTTTTTTAACTTTAAGGTTGTAATTCATTTGAGAACTGTCATCCTGGCTGCAATTTTTTTTAAAAAAAAAGGTTCAAAGAATACAGAGCATTAACCCCGCTGAGTGCTGCAGGATTATTATGTCAATTATTTCCAGAAGGTGGAAAACCAGCTATAAAACTCAGCATGGCCATTTATCTTTCAACCAGAACAAGCCTGTGACCTCACCTTACAAGACAAACATTGGGCGCTATCTAACAAAATGAAATTTTCAAGGGTGAAAAAAGTAAGATTCTACATTTAGGCAAAAAAAACAAAAACAAAAAAAAAAAAAAAACAACCAAATGTACAAGTATAGTATAGGTCAGTGATGGCGAACCTTTTAGAGACCAAGTGCCCAAACTGCAACCCAAAACCCATTTATGCATCGTTGGGTGCCGGGTGGGTGTGGCCATTGGGTGGGTGTGGCCCATTGGGTGGGCGTGGCTGCGGTGGTAACGGCAGACTGGGTGGGACTAAAAAGTTCAATCAATCAATTCCAACTTTGCAAGATCTTTTTTCCCGCGAAAAGTTGAAATTGACTGATTGAACCGTTTTTGGTTTGTTTTGCACATAGCGGCGGAGGCCTAAAGTGAAAAGGTTTTATGAAACCCAGCGGAAGGCCTAGGACTGGGGCGACGGCGCGTGTGCCCACAGAGAGGGCTCTGAGTGCTGCCTCTGGCACCCATGCCATAGGTTCGCCACCTCTGGTATAGGTGGTACCTTGCTCAATAGTAGCAACTGGGAGAGGGACCTCAGAGTCCTAGTGGACAATTCCTTAAATATGAGCCAGCCGTGTGCTGCAGCTGCCAAAAAAGCCAACACAGAGCTAGGCTGCATTAACAGAGGGATAGAATCAAGATCACGTGAAGTGTTAATACCACTTTACAAGGCCTTGGTAAGGCCACACTTGGAATACGGCATCCAGTTTTGGTCACCACGATGTAAAAAAGATCTTGAGACTCCAGAAAAAGTGCAGAGAAGAGCAACAAAGATGATCAGGGGACTGGAGGCTAAAACATATAAGGAACGGTTGCAGGAATTGGGTATTTCTAGTTTAATGAAGAGAAGGACGAGTCTTCCAATCTCTCAGGGGCTGCCCCAAAGAAGAGGGAGTCAAGCTCTTCTCCAAAGTGCCTGAAGGCAGGACAAAAAGCAACGGATGGAAACTCATCAAGGAGAGAAACCACCTAGAACTAAGGAGAAATTTCCTGACATTGAGGACTATTAACCAGTGGAACGACTTGCCTCCAGAAGTTGGGAATGCTCCAACACTGGGAGTAGAGGCTTTGTAGTCACTAAATCAGTGGTTCTCAACCTTTTTAATGCCGCGACCCCCAACCGGTCGTAAGTCGAGGACTACTCAACTGGTGCAGCACCGTTTGCAGAATGGGACTTTTGGCGGGCTCAGCAGGGCAGAGACAGCCTGGACAATTCCTATTGGCTTTTGAAAGCCAATAGAATTAGACTCTATTCAAGAGAGTCTATTCTATTGGCTTTCAAAAGCCAATAGAATAAAAGGGAGTAGCACAGCTAAGGAAAAGGGGAGAAAAAATGGCGGACTGCGTTGTTTGGCGACCCCCGTGAAATGGTCGTTCGACCCCAAATGGGGTCCCGACCCACAGGTTGAGAACCACTGCACTAAATGAACTGTTTAAGTCGAGGACAACCTGTGTTTGTCTAGATAACACAATGAAAGACTTATAAAACTTATGAATGGAGTATGAAGGTTTTGCAGAGGCCCTAACATTACCAGCAGGAAGGATGCTTGCCTTTGGAAAAAATACTTGAATTAAAAGTTTTATTTTTTAAAAAATAAAGGGGGTGGGTTGGGTTAGGGAGGGACACTCAGGATAACCAATAAAAAAAGACTTTTTCTGTGGAAGATTTCTAGGTTTCCAAGACCTCGACAGGGCAGGGGGAGGTGGAGAAAATAATCTCAGGTGTGCATGTCAATATTGCAGAAAGGACACAACTGTATATTATTATATCATTCCCACGGTAATGCCCCAGTGAAAAGAGGCCTTTGGGACTTGTATGTGGGACGTGGGATTACAAAACACAAAACTGATGTGTCTCAGTAGATGAATTGCTCACTAAACCTGGGTTTGAGAATTATCTGAAGCGACATATATCTGGAATTTATTGGATGGAGTTTACAGTTCATGCAATCGATTAAGGCAAAAGCAGACAAATTATACTCACGGTCTAAGCCACTGTTTCTCAACATTGATAACTTTAAGATAGGTGGATTTCAGCTCCCAGAATTCCCCAGCCACCAAGCTTCAAGGGGGGTGGGCTTCCACTCCCAGAATTCCCCAGCCAACCTGCTTTAAGAGGGGTGAACTTCCACCCCCAGAATTCTCCATCCAGCATGCTTTAAGAGGGGTGGACTTCATCTCCCAGAACTCCCAGCAAGTTTTAAGAGTGGATTTCAATTCCCAGAATTCCCCAGCCAGCTAATAATGCCAAAGACCTTAAGCTGAAATCCATACATTTTAAATTTAGTAAGGCTGAGAAATAGTGTGTGTGTGCATACTACAGATATACTGTGTATATGTGTATGTGTGTACATACACAGATTACACCTGCATATTATCTATTTATATATTATATAATAAAAAAATGAATCCAAAGATACTAATTGGCTTCACCCACTACATAAAGGAACAGTTGTGTGGGGTTTTTTTCCCCATAATTGCATGATGATCAAATAATCTTGAACCTATGAGGGTTCAAGATTATGCCTGAACCAGCCCATCATGGCTTGTTCAGCAAACGTAGTTAAAGACTCCCAAAACATAATTGCAAAAAAAAAAAAAAAAATCCAGTTATAAAACTGACTTCAACATCTGCAGATCTATTAGATAACGGCATAGGGCTAACCCTATTCATGAACAAAAGAAAAGTAAAAGGCTATCAAATGTACAGGTATAGTATAGGGGGTACCTTGCTCAATAGTAGCAACTGTGAGAGGGACCTCGGAGTCCTAGTGGACAATCACTTAAATATGAGCGAGCCGTGTGCTGCAGCTGCCAAAAAAGCCAACACAGTGCTGGGCTGCATTAATAGAGGGATAGAATCAAGATCACGTGAAGCGTTAATACCACTTTACAAGGCCTTGGTAAGGCCACACTTGGAATACTGCATCCAGTTTTGGTCACCACGATGTAAAAAAAATGTTGAGACTCTAGAAAGAATGCAGAGAAGAGCAACAAAGATGATCAGGGGACTGGAGGCTAAAACATATAAGGAACGGTTGCTGGAATTGGGTATGTCTCCAGTTTAATGAAGAGAAGGATGAGGGGGGACATGATAGCAGCCTTCCAGTATCTCAGGGGCTGCCCCAAAGAAGAGGGAGTCAACCTATTCTCCAAAGTGCCTGAAGGCAGGACAAGAAGCAACGGATGAAAACTAACCAAGGAGAGAAGCAACCTAGAATTAAGGAGAAACTTCCTGACAGTCAGGACAATTAACCAGTGGAACAACCTGCCTCCAGAAGCGATGAACGCTCCAATACTGGAAGTTTTTAAGAAGAGACTGGACAGCCATTTGTCTGAAATGGTATAGAGTTTCCTGTCTGAGCAGGGGGTTGGACTAGATGACCTCCAAGGTCCCTTCCAACTTTATTATTATTATTGATCATCGCACAGTCAGCCAGATGTTATTATGGATCATCGCACAGTCAGCCAGATGTTCAGACTAGATTTGGCATTTTGTCTACCTATCGAGTCTATTATTATTATTATTATTATTATTATTATTATTATTATTATTATTATTATTATTATTATTATAGCAGCAAGAGGGAACCTCCACATGTAGGAGCAGTCTATCCTGGATGCCATTTCTATTCACGCCCTGCCACTGTTGTCCAGCTAGTGGCATCTGATTAGCTATTTGGGATGGTTAGCCTGACTTACAGCTGGTTTCGCATTTGTCATTATAAGATGCTTACAACATGGGTGGCTATATATAGGTAGTCCTCGACTTACGTCCACAAATGAGCCCAACAATTCCTTTGCTAAGCAAGATAGTCGTTTAGTGAGTTTTGTCCCATTTTATGACCTTTCTTGCCACCATTGTTAACTGAATCACTGCCGCTGTTAAGTGAATCATGATGTTAAGTGAATCTGGCCTCCCCCATTGACTTTGCATGTCAGAAGTTCGCAAAAATGGGATCACACGACCCTGGGACACTGCGACCGTCACAAATACGAGTCAGTTGCCAAGTGTCTGAATTTTGATCATGTGGATGCTACAAGGGTCGTTAAGTGTGAAAAGTGGTCATAATTGACTTTTTCAGTGTAATTTTGAACGGTCACTAAACGAATGGTTGTAAGCTGAGGACTAGCTGTAAATGTTTTAAAGAAATCAATAAAATACATAATCCATTCTAGAGGGGAATAAAACGGAAGTGGGGGTATCATCCAGAGCTCCTCCATCAGGAAGGTGGGCAGTTAAGAAGCTTGACAGACAGAAGGTAGGAAGGAAGGTAGGTAGGTAGGTAAGGAAAGAGAGGGAGACAGAGACAGAAAGATAGATAGGGAAAGATGCAGAAATGCAGAATGGGAGAAAGAGATAGACACAATAGATAGAGAAAGAGAGAGATGGAAAGAGGCAGAGATACATGAAGAAGAGAGAGAGAGAGAGAGAAAGAAAGAAAGGGAGGGAGGGAACAAAAGAGATAGAGGGAGAGTGTGAGAGACAAAGAGAGAGAGAAGAGAGAGAGACAGATACATAGATAGTGAAAGATGCAGAGATGCAGAGTGGGAGAAAGAGACAGACAGGAGAGAGAGAGAGAGAGAGAGAGAAAGACAGAGATACATGGAGAAAGAAAGAAGAGAAAGAAAGGAAAGAAAGAAAGAAAGAAAGAAAGAAAGAAAGAAAGAAAGAAAGAAAAAAAAAAGAGAGAAAGGGAGGGAGATAGAGAGAACAAAAGAGATAGAGGGAGAGTGTCAGAGAGAGAGAGAGAGATACATAGATAGGGAAAGATGCAGAGATGGAGAATAGGAGAAAGAGACAGACAGACAGGATGATAGATAGATAGATAGATAGATAGATAGATAGATAGATAGATAGATAGATAGATAGATAGATAGACAGACAGACAAAAAGGCAGATACATGAGAAAGAAAAAAAGAAAGAAAGAAAGAAAGAAAGAAAGAAAGAGATAGAGAGAGAGAGAACGAAAGAGAGGGAGAGTGTGAGAGACAAAGAGAGAGACAGATACATAGATAGGGAAAGATGCAGAGATGGAGAAGGAGAAAGAGACAGAGACAGACAGACAGAATGATAGATAGATAGATAGATAGATAGATAGATAGATAGATAGATAGATAGATAGATAGATAGACAGAGACAGAGAGAAATAGGGAAAGAGGCAGATAAGAAAGAAAGAAAGAAAGAAAGAAAGAAAGAAAGAAAGAAAGAAAGAAAGAGGGATAGAGAGAGAGAACGAAAGAGACAGATACATAGATAGGAAAAGATGGAGAGATGGAGAATGGGAGACAGACAGATAGGATGATAGGTAGGTAGGTAGATAGATAGATAAATATAGATAGATATGGATGGACGGAGGGAGAGAGAGACAGCTATATAGGGAAAGAGGCAGAGATGGAGAGTGGGAGAAAGAGAGACAGACAGACAGATAGATGCAGAGAGAGAGAGAGAGAGAGAGACAGACAGACAGACAAAAAGGCAGATACATGAGAAAGAAAGAAAGAAAGAAAGAAAGAAAGAAAGAAAGAAAGAAAGAAAGAAAGGGATATAGAGAGAGAGAGAACGAAAGAGAGGGAGAATGTGAGAGACAAAGAGAGAGACAGATACATAGATAGGGAAAGATGCAGAGATGGAGAAGGAGAAAGAGACAGAGACAGACAGACAGAACGATAGATAGATAGACAGACAGACAGATAGACAGAGACAGAGAGAAATAGGGAAAGAGGCAGATAAGAAAGAAAGAAAGAAAGAAAGAGGGATAGAGAGAGAGAGAACGAAAGAGACAGATACATAGGAAAAGATGGAGAGATGGAGAATGGGAGAAAGACAGACAGATAGGATGATAGGTAGGTAGATAGATAGATAGATAAATATAGATAGATATGGATGGACGGAGGGAGGGAGAGAGAGACAGTTATATAGGGAAAGAGGCAGAGATGGAGAGTGGGAGAAAGAGACAGACAGACAGATAGATGCAGAGAGAGAGATATGAGAGTGGATGGATGGATGGATGGATGGATGGATGGATGGATGGAGACAGACGACAGATAAATAGATATGGATGGGTGGGTAGACAGACAGACAGACAGGGAAAGAGGCAGAGATAGAGGAAGAGTGAAAGAAACAGAGGCAGGCAGATTGATATGGAAAGAGGCAGAGAGAGGGAGAGGGAGGGAGGGAAAGAAATAGACAAGAGAGATAGCTAAAGAGGCAGAGATAGAGGAAGAGGGAGAAAGACAGATACCCAATTCTCTGCTGCTCGATTATGTCCAGCTTTTCGGCTCTTCGGATGACCGCCAGAATGACCTCCATCTCGTTCGAATCCAGTGCCTGCATCTTCCTCTGACGGTCTGTCTGGAAAGTGTGCATCGACCAGCCGCTGTGAAGCCTGCAAAGGAAACGAAGCAGTTTTGAATTTTGTTTTTCAGCCAGTCGGGGTTTCTGTTCCTTTAAACGCAGCATTTGCATATCTAAAGGCGGGTTGGCTCAAATTTTATTTTTAATGAGCGTTTTTTAGGGTTTTTAAGAAGAGACGGGACATCCATTTGTCCAGAAGGTCATAGGGTCTCCTGCTTGAGAGGGGGTTGGACTAGAAGACCTCCAAGGTCCCTTCCAAGCTCTGTGCTTCTGATAAAACCACCTCACAGTCACATGACCAAAATTCAATCACTGGGCAACTGACATATACTTAACGGCGGTTGCAGTGTCCTGGGGTCACATGATCTCCTTTTGCGACCTTATCACAGGCATAGCCAATGGGGAAGCCAGATTCACTTAACGATGGGGATGAGAAAGGTTGTAAAACAGGGCAAAGCTCACTTAACAAGCTCGCTTAGCAGCGGACATTTTGGGCTCAAATTGTCGTCGTTAAGTCGAGGACTATGTATAGATATTCTCCAAGACCGATGCCCACCTTACAGTGTACAGTTCTACAAGCCAGGTTGAAGATGTTCCCCTGAATGAATGTGAAATGATTCTGCTTATCAACATTAAAGGATTAAAGCGGGGTTCTTCAAACTTGGCAACTTTAAGACTTGTGGACTTCAACTCCCAGAATTCCTCAGCCAGCCAGTCAGCTTGTGGACATCAACTCCCAGAATTCCTCAGCCAGCCAGCTTGTGGACTTCAATTCCCAGAATTCCTCAGCCAGCCAGTCAGCCAGCTTGTGGACTTCAACTCCCAGAATTCCTCAGCCAGCCAGCTTGTGGACTTCAACTCCCAGAATTCCTCAGCCAGCCAGTCAGTCAGCTTGTGGACTTCAACTCCCAGAATTCCTCAGCCAGCCAGCTTGTGGACTTCAACTCCCAGAATTCCTCAGCCAGCCAGCTTGTGAACTTCAACTCCCAGAATTCCTCAGCCAGCCAGTCAGCCAGCTTGTGGACTTCAACTCCCAGAATTCCTCAGCCAGCCAGTCAGTCAGCTTGTGGACTTCAACTCCCAGAATTCCTCAGCCAGCCAGCTTGTGGACTTCAACTCCCAGAATTCCTCAGCCAGCCAGCTTGTGAACTTCAACTCCCAGAATTCCTCAGCCAGCCAGTCAGCCAGCTTGTGGACTTCAACTCCCAAAATTCCTCAGCCAGCCGGCTTGTGGAGTTCAATTCCCAGAATTCCTCAGCCCTCCAGTCAGCCATCTTGTGGACTTCAACTCCCAGAATTCCTCAGCCAGCCAGTCAGCCAGCTTGTGGACTTCAACTCCCAGAATTCCTCTGCCAGCCAGGGATGCTGAGGAATTCTGGGAGTTGAAGTCCATAAGTCATAAAGTTGCCAAGTTTGAAGACCACTGGATTAAAGGATGGAAAAATTACAGATCCACCTACTTGGCGCGGAGAGCCAGATGCCGGTCATTGGGACACACCCACTGGTTATTGCCGCTGCCAAAAATGGTTTCCGCCATGGATTGGTCAGCCCTGGGGCCTATACCAGGCAGGAGAGAGAGAGAGAGAGCCAGAGACAGAGACAGAGAGAAAGATTATTTTGGAGAAAAAGTTGATTTTTCCAAATTTTTACAAACCAAGTTTTACACAGAAGGACAGGAAGTCCTCGACTTATGACTGCAATTAGGTCCAAAATTTCCATCACTCAATGAGACACTTGTTAAGTGAGTTTTGGCCCGTTTTACAACCTTTCTTGCTATAGTTGCTAAGTGAATCACTGCAGTTGTTAAGTTAGTTATACGGTTGTTGTGGATATGGGTTCCTCAATTGACTTTGGTCACAAAAGGTGATCACGTGACCCCAGGACACTGCGACTGTCATAAATGTGAGTCATTTGCCTTGGTCACAAAAGGGGATCACATCACCCCAGGACACTGCGACCGTCATAAATACGAGTCATTTGCCTGGGTCACAAAAGGGGATCACATGACTCTGGGACACTGCGACCGTCATAAACACGAGTCATTTGCCTGGGTCACAAAAGGGGATCACATGCAACCGTCATAAATGCGAGTCATTTGCCTTGGTCACAAAAGGGGATCACATGACCCCGGGACACTGCCACCGTTATAAATGCGAGTCATTTGCCTGGGTCACAAAAGGGGATCACATGCAACCGTCATAAATGCGAGTCATTTGCCTGGGTCACAATAGGGGATCATATGACCCCGGGACACTGCGGCAATCATATATATGAGTTGGTTGCCAAGCGTCTGAATTTTGATCACGTGATCACAGGGATGCTGCAACGGTCGTAAGTTTGAAAAAACCAACATCAATCTATTTTTTTAGTGACATAAGTTCGAACGGTCAGTAAATGAATGCTTGTAAGTCGAGGACTGCCTGTATTGTTGGCAAAAAGGCAACATGGATGTTGATTGTTTTGTTCGTTCGGCTTCTGACTTTCTCAGCATGTTTTTCTTGCAGTGTAGAAAAATATATTCTCACATAATCTTTCTTTAAAAAAAAAAAAAACCACACACTGTTTAAAAGCCAGTTTTCCTGTCATCCCGGAAGGGTCAAAACCTCACCCGAGCACTATCGAAAATACAAACAGTTTGGCCTCTTTTGCAGACAGGAAAAAGCATATTTCTCCAGTCTCTTATGTTCCCAGGGCGAAAAAGGCTCCATGAATCAGCCACTGCACCAAATGTGCAGCCCTCTGTCACGCAAGACGAAAACTGGAGGATTGTGCTACTTACAACATGCCAGAATTTAAAGCAGGTTTTGTCAGATTTGGCAACTTTAAGATGGGTGGATGTCCATGCCCAGAATTGCCCAGTTAGCATGCTTTAAAATGGTGGATTTCCACTCCCAGAATTCCTCACCCGGCATGCTTTAAGATGGGTGGACTTCAACTCCCAGAATTCCCCAGGCAGCCTGCTTTAAGATGGGTGGGCTTCCACTCCCAGAATTCCCCAGTCAACATATCTTAAGATAAATGGACTTCAACTCCCAGAATTCCCCAGGCAGAAAGCACCTGAAGGCAGGACAAGAAGCAATGGATGGAAACTAAGCAAGGAGAGAAGCAACCTAGAACTAAGGAGAAACTTCCTGACAGTGAGGACAATTAACCAATGGAACAACCTGCCTCCAGAAGCAGTGAATGCTCCAACACTGGAAGTCTTTAAGAAGAGATTGGACAGCCATTTTTCTGAAATGGTATAGGGCAGGCATGTCAAACTCACGACGTCGTGTAACGTCGCGTGACGTATCGTAGCTTTTTCGCTATTGCTGGCAATGGGGTGGGCGCGGCTCCGGTATGATGAAACCGGCCCGCAGGCCGAAGGTTTGACACCCCTGGTATAGGGTTTCCTGCCTGAGCAGGGTTGGACTAGATGACCTCTAGGTCCCTTCCAACATATCATCATCATCATCATCATCATTATTATTATTATATTCCCCAGCCAGCATGCTTTAAGATGGGCAGACTTCAATCTCCCACAATTCCCCATCCAGCATATTTTAAGAGGGATGGACTTCGTTTCCCAGAATTCCCCAGGCAGCGTCGGTTGGGAAATACTGGTCAAAACCAGCAACAGAAGCACAGACTAACTTTCCAACCCATCTTATCTGTCCTAGCAATTGGGGCCCAGGACAATGGAGGGCAAACCTTCAATTTCGAACTGGGTGCCCAATTTATTTCCCTAAAAAGCCCTCTGCCCATGGAAAATAAAACTGCACAAGGCTGTAGTCCTCTTGAGAGCTTAAGAGCGTATAGGGCTAAAGATGGTTTCCTCTTGAGGCAGAATTTTCCTCAGCTTCTTATTACTTTCGTTATTTTACCACCCATTTTAACACGGTAAGCTGCCCAGAGTCACCTTGTGGTTGAGAGGGGTGGTATATAAATTTAATACATAGTTATGACCTGCTTCGTCGCAACGTCCCATGGGCTCCTCTCAACAAATATCCCTCGTCCTAAACATGACCACACCTCAAAATGGCCTCTGTTTTAATAGGGGCCTTTAGCAGCCTCACCCGACCATTATTTATTTCTCAGTGGTCCCAAAGGAGGCGGATGAGGCACTCTTGGAAATAAACAGGATGCTGAGTTCAGCAAGCCAGCTTCCACTGACTTTTAAACTCAAAGGGAAGTTAGTAGAAGCTGAGGTCAGAATAAAGGAGAGGCTGGCCTTTGTTTTTGGAATTAAGAGGCTTGCAAGGGAGACTCACTGAACAGAAAATCAAGAGGCACGAGTCGCCCAGCGGAGAAAGGAGCCCATCCAATTAATTTTGCATGGTTTGTCTCTATGCCACATTGGTGTACTGTAGATAGAATGTATTAGTTTTGAGATATTAGACGTCCTGCCTTTGACTGGGGACCTCTTATAATTCTCATTATTTGAATCTCTTTTGGTTTTTACAGCAGGTGGTAGGAGGGAGGAAGGAAAAAAAGGAGGGGAGGGAAGAAAGAAAAGATAAAGAAAAGAAAGAAAGAAGAGAGAGAGAGAGAGAAAGAAGAAAGAAAGAAGAAAGGAGGAAGGGAGGGAGGGAGGGAGGGAAGGAAGGAAGGAAGGAAGGAAGGAAGGAAAAAGGAAAAGAGGGAGGGAAGAAAGAAAAGACAGATAGATAAAGAAAAATAAAAAAAGAGAGAGAGAGAAAAAGAAAGAGAAAGAGAGAGAGAGAGAGAAAGAGGGAGGGAGGGAAGGAAGGAAAAAGGAAAAGAGGGAGGGAAGAAAGAAAAGATAAAGAAAGGAGAGAGAGAGAGAGAGAGAGAAAGAAAGAAAGAAAGAAAGAAAGAAAGAAAGAAAGAAAGAAAGAAAGAAAGAAATAAGGAGGGAGGGAGGAAAGGAAGGAAAAAGGAAGAGGGAGGGGAGGGAAGAAAGAAAAGATAGATAGATAAAGAAAAATAAAAAAGAGAAAGAGAGAAAAAGAAAGAAAGAAAAAGAAAGAGGAAGGAAGGAAGGAGAAAATGGGAAGCAGGGAGGAGGAACAGAGGGAAGTGATAAAAGGAAAGAGGGAGGGAAGAAAGGAAAGACAAGAATGGAAGAAAGAAAAGAAACAAAAATAAAAAAAAGGAATAGGAAGCGATGGAGGGAAGAAGGGAGGGAGGATATGAAATAGGGAGGAGGAAAGAAGGAAAGGAAGAGAGGAAGGTCAGAAAGAAGGCCAGGTAAATAAGGAGAAAGGAAGGAGGGAGACAGGGACAAGAAGAAAGGTAAGGCAATACCAGCTGGAGAACTTTAATCCATCCAGAACAAACTCCAGGCCTGGTTTTGCACCTGCCCCACCCCAGCTTCCTTGCCAATAGCTTGGGTAACTTTGATTATGCCAGGGCGCAACCATGGCAACCTGGACAAACAGCCCTGGTTGCTAGGAAGAGGCCACAGCAACAAGCAGCCAGGAGATTAGGGTGAAGGACCAGACATCCTGCCCCCTCCCCCCCCCACCTTGCTCACATGAAATGGCACCTCCAGGTGTTTGGACTGCAATTCCCAGAATTCCCCAAGAGGTGGAAAGCTAGGGATTCTGGGAGTTGCAGTCCCAGAGGCTCACTAATTCTGAAACGCGCCTCACGGGGACAAGACCCAGCACCCGCTTTTCTATTCCGTCTCTCTATGGCTTTGCATGGACACATTTGTTTTTATAACTTGTTTACCTACATGTAGTCCTCGCTTTACAACCGTTCATTTAGTGACCGAAGTTACAACAGCACTGAAAAAAGTGACTTAGGATCATTTTTCTAGACGACCGTTGCAGCATCCCCGAGGTCAAGTGATCAAAATTCAGGCCCTGGTTCCTATTTATGACGGTCGCAGTGTCCCCCGGGGTCACGTGATCCCCTTTTGCGACCTTCTGACAAGCAGGGTTGGGAAAGCTGGTTTCACTTAACAAACCATGTGACTGTAGCGATTCACTTAACAGTTACGTTACTAACTTAACCTCTGCCGTGATTCATTTAACAACGGTGGTAAGAAAAGTTGTAAAACAGGGCAAAGCTCGTATTTCACTTAGCACCAGAAATGTTGGGCTCAACTGTGTCCGTACGTCGAGGACTACCTTGTAATTATTTAGATTCACTTAACAACCGTGTGTCTAACTTAACAACGGCAGTGATTGGCTTAACAACTGTGGCAAGAAACATCACAGAATGGGGCACAACTCGCTTAGCAACCGTCTTCCTTAGCAGCAGAAAGTTTGGGCTCAAGGGTAGTCGTAAATTGAGGACAACCCCTATTCACTCATTTACATTTCAATCGTTCTTTGACAGGTTCAAGGATTTTGGCCAGACCCGTCAAGCTTCACCCATGCGTGACGTGTCATTTAATTGTGTTGATTTCCTTCAAGAACTCTAGAACTTCTCCTCTTTATACCTCATAACAACAACCCTGTGGGGTAGGCTGGGCTGAACAGCAGGGCCTGGCCCCAAATCCTTCAGGGGTTTCCATGCTGAGGTGAATTTCCCCACTCTGAACACAACCCCTTCCCCACTTAGTCCTGGCAGTCGTCTTATGGGTCCTTCCCCCTTTTTTTCCTCAGAGAGTCCTCGACTTACGACCATAACTAAGCTCAAAATTTCTGTTGTTCAGTGAGACATTGGTTCAGTGAGTTTTGCGCCATTTTACGACCTTTTCTTGCCACAGTTAAGTGAATCACTGCAGTTGATAAGTAACACGGTCGTTAAGTGAATCTGGCATTCCCCATTGACTTTGCTCGTCGGAAGGTCATAAAAGGGGATCACATGACCCTGGGACACAGCACCGGTCGTACATATGAACCCACTGCCAAGTGTCTGAATTTTGATCACGTGATCATGGGGCTGCTGCAAAGGTTGTTAAGTATGAAACACGGTCCTAAGTCACTTTTTTCAGTGCCTTTGTAACTTTGAACAGTCGTTAAATGAACGGTTGTAAACCGAGGACTACCTGTTACAGGTAGGCCCTTGAATCACAACCACAAATTGGGATCAGAATTCCCATTGCTAAGCGAGGTGGTTGTTAAAATTGGAGCCACCTGCAATTTTTAGGGCCTTTTTGTTATACTTGTTCAGCAAATCACAGCAGTCACTAAGTGAATCACAGTCATTAAGCAAAACCAATTTCCCCCATTGCCTTTGCCTGTCTGAAGCCAGCTGGAAAGGTTACGAAAGGGGATCCCAGGACCGTGTAGATCAGTGGTTCTCAACCTTTTTAATGCCGCGACCCCCAACCGGTCGGAAGTCGAGGACTACTGAACCAGTCGTAAGTCGAGGACTACTCAGCTGGTGCAGCACTGTTTGCAGAATGGGGCTTTTGGCAGGCTCAGCAGGGCAGAGACAGCCTGGACAATTCCTACTGGCTTTTGAAAGCCAATAGAATTAGACTCTATTCAAGAGAGTCTATTCTATTGGCTTTCAAAAGCCAATAGAATAAAAGGGAGTAGCTAAGGAAAAGGGGGGGGGAAATGGCAGACTGCGTTGTTTGGCGACTCCCGTGAAATGGTCGTTCGACCCCAAATGGGGTCCCGACCCACAGGTTGAGAACCACTGGTGTAGATGCTGCAATCATCCTAAATATACCCTGGTTGCCAAGAAACCTGAATTTTGATCACGTGGCCACGGGGATGCTGCAACAGTCGTTAAGTGGGAAAACCGGTCATAAGTCACTTTTTGGAGGGCTGTTGTCATTTCAAATACCGTATTTCCCCTAAAACAAGACAGGGCTTTATATTAATTTTTGCTCCAAAAGAGGCATCAGGGCTTATTTTCTGGTTAGGGCTTATATTCAGGGAAATACAGTACTAAATGTGTCTGTCTGGTTGACAATCTTAACTGGGGCTTATTTTTGGGGTGGGGCTGCATGGAGAAAAATAAAGCTAGGGCTTATTTTCCAGTTAGGGCTTATATTTGGGGAAATATGGTACTAACTGCATCCATTTGGCTAACTATCTTAACTGGGGCTTATTTTGGGGGATGGGGCTTATATTATGAGCATCCTGATTGGGCAGGGGTAGGCAACCTTGGCTCTTTTATCACTCGTGGACTTCAACTCCCAGAATTCCTGAGCCAGCATGGGGGAACTATGGCCCCTTCATGACTCGTGGACTTCAACTCCCAGAATTCCTGAGCCAGCACGGGGGAACTATGGCCCCTTCATGACTCGTGGACTTCAACTCCCAGAATTCCTGAGCCAGCATAGCTCAGCTTGGAAACCTCTTCCTTTTCCCTCAGTATGGCTGGCTCAGGAATTCTGGGAGTTGAAGTCCAGGAGTCATAAAAGAGCCAAAGTTGCCTACCCCTGCAGCTAGGCTAGAGCTTATTTTCCGGTTGGGTTTTATTTTCAGGGAAATACGGTAGTCATTAAGTGAACGGTTGTAAGTCAAGCATTATTTGCACACTCTCTTGGATGTACCACAAATCAACCAGAGAAATCAGCCCAAACCACCTTCCTTGAAAAAGAAGAGTCACAAAGTGGGGGGGCTTCAGGACCCACAGGGCATTCCTCCCCCCCCCCCCCACGCACTTTACACTCTAAACCACACTTGCCACAACCCCTTCAAAGCAATACAGGAAAGTCTTCAATTTACAACTGCAACAGTGCAAAGTTATAATGCCACTGAAAAAAAGCAACTTATGACCGTTTTCACCCTTACGACTGTTGCAGCATCCCTGTGGTCATGTGATCAAAATTCGGACGTAACTGACCTGTATTTGTGACGGTTGCAGAGTCCCTGGGAGTCACATAATCCCCTTTGGCGACCTTCTGACAAGCAAAGTCAATTGGGGAAGCCAGATTCACTTAACAACTATGTGACTCACTTAACAACTGGGGTGATTCACTGAACCACCTTGGCAAGAAAGCTGGTCAAACCGAGTCAATAAAATTCACTTCCTAATTTCACAGCCCTCTTGCTCGGCCATGGGAATCTTGGGACTCCCTCCCGCCCGATCACCCACCCCCCTCGTGGTCGTAAAACGAGGACTCCCTCTGCGGTCCCCATCAGCTTGCATAATCTTGCAAGTTGAACTTTGATCGGTTCTTTCCGAAGCTCAACAGGTTTGCAAAGGCGACACCGTTCCCTTCCCAACAAGGAAATCTGACGTTTGGAAGGGAAGAACAAAACGAAACAAACGCGAGCAAATAAAAACCCGAGTTTTTATTAATTCAGGCCTGTGGGGAGTGTCCCGAAAGCAAAGGAAAGCAAAGCTTTCTTCTTATTATTTTCTCTTCCTTTTTAAAAGAAAGTATTTAACAAAGAGAGAGAGAAAGAAAGAGGAAAAACAGGAGGCGGAGGGAAATTTAAATTGCTTTGTAGAGGCTGCAAAATCCCCGGGCATTTAGAAGGAGGAGGGGGCGTCCCGCCACATCTGGAGGAGAGAAAATTGCCTTTTTGCAAAAAAGGGGCAAGGGGGAGGAAAAGTAGGCATTTTGCACGGCCCTGACACACTCAGGGATTTTGCACACTCACCCGAAGGCTGGAGAGAAAAGGGGGGGGGTGTCCAACAGCCAGCAGCACCAGGCGCGTGCGAGACCCCCGGCGACCAGCAACGCTCTGCAAAAAAAACACACACAAAAACTCAATATTGCTAATCAGCCATTAAATAAATACAGGGGCCAACCGTCCAAAGGCGGGAGTCAAACTCCGGACTGGATTCCCGGAACGGATTCAGGTGAGACAGGTCGGCTTACCCAGCCAGTCCTGCGGTTGTGTTGTTGTGTGGGTGTGACAGCTGTGCAAAGCCGGCCAGAGGAAGAGGCCAGATTCGCTCCTGGCTGGGCATGAAAAAGGAAATGTGACTCAGAGGGTGGACTCCTATTTTTCACACACACACACCCCATTGTAAATAAGTTTATGGAGGTGCTAAATCGTTTCATTGCAAGGGAAGAAGATAAACATTCTATTTCACCTGCAGTCCTCGGCTTACGACTACAGCTGAGCCCCCACAGTTCCGTTGCTAAGCAAGACAACTGTTAAGTGAATTTTTCACCCCATTTTACGACCTTTCTCGCCACAGTTAAATCAACCAGCGTGGTTGTTAAGCGAGTAACACGGTCGTTAAGCGAATCCGCCTTCTTCCCCATTCGACTATGCTTGTCAGAAGGTCGCAAAAGGGGATCACGTGACCCCCCCGGGACACGGCGGCCGCCATAAATACGAGCCGCTTGCCAAGCGTCTGAATTCTGATCACGTGACCATAGGGATGCTGCAACGGTCGTTAACTGTGAAGGATGGTCATAAGTTAAGTGTCTTCAGTGTTGTCGTAACTTTGAACGACCACTAAACAAATGTTGTAAGTCGAGGACTGCTGTATATCAACGTTTAATAAAGTTTCTGGCCAGGTAGCTGATGGCGTTGTCATGCATTTTAACTCACACTTCGCCGCAGCGACACAAAGACAGATTTAGTGCGTTTTGCCCACAGGTTGCATCTTATTGAGACAGCTGCCCTACACAGCAATTGTCGGCATTGCGTGGTTGCGAACTCCCGCTTTCAGAATCCCAATGTTCCTGATACGCAGACGGTTTACGACAGTCTTCCAAATGTCTGTTCCTATTGCAAAAAAAGACCTGGGGGGGGAGTCAAAATGCAGGGATTTGCATTCTGCGGAACTCCAAGGCAAAACATCTGTTACCAAGTTTTACTTTTAAAACATTTGACTTTTTAATTGTGCCGTAGATCTGCCTAGCCCAGAAGCCGGTTCATTAAACACATGGCGCCGTCCCCGAGCATCATAAGGTGCTGATGTGCAGACAAGGATAAATGTCTGAATCACAACAGAGCTGGAAGGGACCTTGGAGGTCATCTAGTCCAACCCCCAGCTCAAGCAGGAGACCCTATACCTTTTGAGACAAATGACTGTCCAGTCTCTTCTTAAAAAGCTCCAGAGTTGGAGCACCCACAACTTCTGGTGGCAAGTCGTTCCACTGGTTAATTCTCCTGACGGCTAGGAAGTTTCTCCTTAGTTCCATTAGCTTTTCATCCTGTCCTCTGGTGCGTTGGAGAATAGCTTGACCTCCCTCCTCTTTGTGGCAACCTCTCAAATACTGGAATATTGCTATCAAATTTCAAATTCCTTTATTGTCAAAGTACAACATGTGTACAATGAGATTGGCTGAGCCTCCCTTCGTGCACCCCCCCATCACAACTCACAATGACAACAAACACACCATCTGAACTTATTGCACAACGCGCAATAAGCCAATCTCTATATAAGAAATAACTACATCTCCACAGAAATAGAGCACAACAATGATAAAAACTGTCTTGAATGCATTTGGGTCAATATAAAAGGGGGGGGGGAATGACATTGCCATAGGTGTATACTACAGACCACCCAACCAAATAGAGGAAATAGATGAACTTTTTGCTAGTCAGCTAACTAAGGTATGTAGGAAGCACATCACAATAGTAATGGGGGACTTTAACTACCCTGACATCAACTGGGAGACAAACTCCGCACCCAGTGGAAGATCAAACAGGTTCCTGGCAAACCTAGCAGACAACTTTGTCTCCCAAAAAGTAGAGAATGGAACTAGGGGATTAGCCATTTTGGATCTAATTCTCACTAACAGAGATGAAATGATAGACGGTGTTGGAGCCATAGGAACCCTGGGAGGAAGTGATCATGCAATATTAGAATTCAACATTATAGAAGCACAACCAATAGAACACAGTCAAACTAGAGTCTTGGACTTCAAGAGAGCTAAGTTCAATAAACTTAGAGAGGGCTTGGGAAGGATTCCATGGATGAGAATCCTCAAGGGGAAAACAACTCAAGAAGCTTGGGAAATTTTGAAAAATGAGATAATAAAAGCACAGTCTAGCACAATACCAACAAAGAGGAAAAACAACAGCTCCCAAAAGAAACCATAAAGAACTCTCTGACAAATTGAAAGATAAAAAGGACAAGTATAGAAAGTGGAAAGAGGAGAACATAACTAAGTCAGAATATCAGCAAATAGCCCGAGCCTGCAAAGATGAAGTGAAGAAAGCCAAGGCTCAAAATGAACTAAGGCTTGCGACCAAAGTCAAAAATAACAAAAAAAGCTTCTTTCAACATGTAAAAAACAAGAAAAAAGTGAAGGAAATGATTGGTCCATTAGTGGGTAGAAGTGGCAAGAAGGTGACAAGCAACAGGGAGAAAGCAGAACTATTTAACTCATTTTTTTGCATCTGTCTTTACACAAAGGGAAAAAACAGACCAACCTATCAAAAATAGTGCCATAAAAAACAAAACAGAAACACAAATTAAGATAGGCAAGAAAATGGTTAGTGAGCACCTGTCCAGCCTAGATGAGTTCAAATCGCCAGGACCAGATGGATTACATCCCAGAGTTATCAAGGAACTGGCAGATGTGATATCGGAGCCACTGAACTATATTTTTCAAAGATCCTGGAACACAGGGGAACTACCAGAGGACTGGAAAAGAGCTGATGTAGTTCCCATCCTCAAAAAAGGAAAAAAAATGGATCCAGGAAATTACAGACCTATCAGCCTGACCTCAATACCTGGGAAGATCCTGGAAAAGATAATCAAACAACGAATCAACGAACACCTAGAGGCAAACAAAGTCATTACTAAAAGCCAACATGGGTTTGTCAAAAATAGATCATGCCAGACAAATCTTATTGCATTTTTTGACCAAGTGACAAAATTAGTGGATCAGAGGAATGCTGTGGACATAATTTACTTGGACTTCAGTAAGGCATTTGATAAAGTAGATCACAACCTACTACTTGACAAGATAGAAAAATGTGGGGTAGACAGAACCACCACCAGATGGATCCGTAGCTGGCTGACCGGCCATACTCAGCGAGTGGTCCTCAATGGAACTGCATCTATATGGAGGGAAGTGTGTAGTGGGGTGCCCCAGGGCTCTGTTCTGGGCCCAGTACTATTCAACATCTTCATCAACGATTTGGATGAAGGGATAGATGGGGAACTCATCAAATTTGCAGATGACACCAAGCTGGCAGGAATAGCCAACACTCCAGAAGACAGGCTTAAGATACAGAAGGATCGGGACAGACTTGAACACTGGGCACTAACTAACAAAATGAAATTCAATGGTGAAAAAAGCAAGGTTCTACATTTAGGCAAGAAAAACCAAATGCACAAGTACAGCATAGGTGGCACCATGATCAATAGTAGTAACTGTGAGAGGGACCTCGGAGTCCTAGTAGACAATCACTTAAATATGAGCCAGCAGTGTGCTGCAGCTGCCAAAAAGGCCAACACAGTGCTAGGCTGCATTAAAAGAGGGATAGAATCAAGATCACGTGAAGTATTAATACCACTCTTCAATGCCTTGGTAAGGCCACACTTGGAATACTGCATCCAGTTTTGGTCGCCACGATGTAAAAAAGATGTTGAGACTCTAGAAAGAGTACAGAGAAGAGCAACAAAGATGATTAGGGGACTGGAGGATAAAACATATAAGGAACGGTTGCTAGAATTGGGTATGTCTAGTTTAACGAAGAGAAGGACAAGGGGGGACATGATAGCAGTGTTCCAATATCTCAGGGGCTGCCATAAAGAAGAGGGAATTAAGCTATTTTCCAAAGCACCTGAAGGCAGGACAAGAAGCAATGGGTGGAAACTAATCAAGGAGAGAAGCAACCTAGAACTAAGGAGGAACTTCCTGACAGTGAGAACAATTAATCAGTGGAACAGCTTGCCTCCAGAAGCAGTAAATGCTCCAACACTGGAAGTTTTTAGAAGAGACTGGACAGCCATTTGTCCGAAATGGTGTAGGGTTTCCTGCCCGAGCAGGGGGTTGGACTAGATGACCTCCAAGGTCCCTTCCAACTTTACTACTATTATTATTATTATAAAGAAATAATGATCTGTTACTACAGATCAAGTCCAACAAGAAGAGGATATCTAAAACGAATGCACCAGTTCTGGAAAGAACAAAATCCAGAATGAGAAATAACAGAAGAGAGACTAGCAGATCAACGCCGAAGACTGTGGCAAAAGCAAGCAAGGGTAGTACCAATAGTCATAGGCTCCTTGGGTACAATCCCAAAACATCTGGAGCACCACTTGAACACCATTGGCATTGACAAATTCGCTATTAGTCAATTGCAAAAGGCGGCCTTACTAGGAACTGCTTCCATCCTGCGACGAGATCTGTAATAACATCAAACATCCACATCTGCCTATCCCAGGTCCTGGGTAAGGACTCGATAGGTAGACAAAATGCCAAATCCAGTCTGAACATCTGGCTGACTGTGCGATGATCCATAATAGTAATAATATGATACATATGAAGACCAACACTGGCAGCCGTGATTTCACATTGTTGTGTATATAATAACAATATTTCTGCACTGAGCAGAGGCTAGGACTTAATGCAGACTAATCTAAATGTCCCCTTTCCCTCTGAGGATTTTAAGTCTAAATATCCTCTTTTTAAGCCACTTCCTGCTTCCAAACCCCAGTTATTTTATCATCAAGCCAAGGTCGAGGCTTTGGGCCTGTCTCATTCAACCAGGCCTAACCCTGCCAGTTGCCATGGCAACCTTCATCTCTCAAGTGGTCCCCTTCGGTTGCCAGCCAGAGTGATGGACGGGGATATGCAGACATGCTCACCCTCCTCAGATAACCTCTTCAAACACCTGGGGGG